TACAGGTAGGAGTTAACTGAGGAAGAGGATTTTGGGCAGAAGGACAGCACGTGCAAAGGCCCTGTGGCAAAATGAAGAATGGCAGGGACTCTAATGATCAGTGCCCCCATCCCTCCTGCACATTCAATTCATCAGCAAATTCTCTTGGTCTACCTTCAAAATATATCCAGAATCTGAACACTCTCACCTCCTCCACTTCAATCATCCTAGACCAAGAATCACCCTCCCCTACTTGGATCATTACTGTAGTCTCCTAACTCATGTCTCTGCATCTGCCTTTGTCCCCTACCCCCCAGTTTCTTCTCAACACAGCAGCCAGAGTAACCCTGTTAATACATAAGTCAGACCAGGCCTACTTCAGCATAAAAACAGGGCCCAGTGTAATCTGGTTCTCTCCCAATCCATTTTTCATCATCAAGAATGCATCAAATTCAGCCTTTTACACTGGCTGTTCCCTCTGCTGGAACATTCTTCCCCAGGTATTTATAGGACTCCTTCCCTGACCTTGACAGGTGTCAACTCAAAGGGCGTCTTCTCAGCGAGACCGTCCCTGACCATCCTACTTAACACTGTATCCCCTTCCCCTGCTTCCACCCTCTTGACGTCCTCTCCCCTGCCCAGGCTTATTTTATCCATCACACTTTTCACCGTCTAACATACAGCATATATTACCTATTTATTATCTGTCTTCTCCCAATGGTATGTAAGCTACCTGAGAGCACACAGTTTAATCTATTTTGTTAATGGCTGTATTACAGACCTGTAACAGTATTTGGCACACAGCAGATGCTCAGTAAATATTTATGAAACAAATGAACGAATTCAGCCTCCCTTAGTCCAATCGTCCCTGATAACCAGCTGCTGCATCTGTGAACAGGCTATTCACAAGTAATTGTAACAAATGCTTAGACAAGCATAGTCTCTTAAAATATCTCTCAATAACATTGTGCATTCTACCTCTGGTGCTCTGGGACATGACTAGGGTCTTGTTACTTGCTCTGGATTTAAGCAATAGAAGCTGAGGTGTAAAGAGTTTCAAAAGTTAAGGCTGAACAGAACTTTTGACATGTAAACAGTTTAGAAGTTGTCACTCCCATCCTCACAACAAGAAAAAGATGAACAAACTGAAAATCAACAACTGGAAGTCGATGGAACTTGGATCCATCAGAGAGTTGAGGTCACAGAGCAAACTGCTGCCTTGAAAACTGGAGAGACAAGTGAATACAGAGAATCACAGTTTACCAGGAGCAGAAGCCTGCAGCTAGAGCCAGTATCAGTAGGAACACTTTAAACTGAGATTGATGAATTGCTGGAGGCTTAGAGTGGAATGGCTTGAGAGTTTAAAACTCCAAGGGGTCCAGTCCAAGAAGGCCCTCATACGTTCAAGAATTTACCTTCAGGAGCCCTACAAGATTCTCACTGTGAAAATCAGAGGAAAATCCCCACCTGCTTCTGGCAGTGGGAGAGGAAAAATAACAATTATAGATTGGAAAGGAAGAAATAAAACTGTCTTGTTTCAGATGACGTAATTGTCTACGCAGAAAACCACAAAGAATCAACAACAACAAAAAACCCCTGGAACTAATAAGCGATTATAGCAAGGTTGCAGGAGACAGTTAATATACAACAGTCAGTTGATTTCCTACATACCAGCAATAAGCAATTGGAAATTTAAATTTAAATGCAACACCATTTACATTCCCATAAAAAAATGGAAATACTTAGGTATACATCTAACAACATACGTATAAGATCTATCTAAGGAAAACTATAAAACTCTGATGAAAGAAATCAAAGAAGAACTAAGTAAATAGATATTCCATGTACATGGATAGAAAGATTCAATATCGTTAAGGTGTCCTTCCCAATTTGATCTATAGATTCAACACAATCCCAATCAAAATCCCAGCAAGTTACTTTGTGGATATGGACAAATTAATTCTAAAGTTTATATGAAAAGGCATAAGACCCAGAATAGCCAACACAATATTGAAGGAGAAGAACCAAGTTGGAAGACTGATGCTATCGGATTTCAAGACTTACTATAAAGCTACAGTAATCAAGACAGTGTGGTACTGGCGAAAGAAGAGACAAACAGATCAAGCAAACAGAATAAAGAGCCCAGAAATAGACCCACACAAACAGATCTTTGACAAAGAAGCAAAGGCAATCCAATGAAGAAAGGAAAGTCTTTTCAGCAAACGATGCTGGAACAACTGGACATTCACGTGCAAAAAAAAGAATCTAAACACAAACCTTACACCTGTCACAAAAGTTAACTCAAAATGGATCATAGACCTAAATGTAAAATGCAAAACTATAAAACTTCTAGAAGATAATATAGGAGAAAATCTAGATGAACTTAGGTTTGGCAATGAGTTTTTAGACACAACACCAAAAGCATGATCCATGAAAGAAAATATTGATAAGTTGGACTTCATTAAAATTAAAAACTTCTGTAAAAGACACTGTTAAGAGAATGAAAAGACAAGCCACAGACTGGAAGAAAATCTGCAAAACACATATCTGCTAAAGGATTGTATCCAAAATATATAAAGAACTCTTAAAACTTAATATGAAAACCCAATTAAAAAGCAAAAGATCTGAATACACACCTCACCAAAGAAGATATACAGATGGCAAAAAAGCATATGAAAAGATGTCCAATGTCATATGTCATCAGGAATTGCAAATTAAAACAATAATGAGATACCTCTACACACCTATTAGAATGGCTAAAATCCCAAACACTGGCAACACTAAATGCTAGCAAGGAGGTGAAGCAACAGGAACTCTCATTCATTGCTGGTGGGAATGCAAAACGGTTCAGCCACTTGGGCTTGGCTGTTTCTTCAAGACGGCTTGGCGGTTTCTTTCAAAGCTAAACATAGTCTTAGCAAATGATCCAGCAATCATCTTTAGCCAAATGAGTTGAAAACTTACGTCTACACAAAAACCTCTACGTGAATTTTTATAACAGTTTTATTCATAATAACCCCAAATCAGAAGCAACCAAGATGTCCTTCAATAGGTAAATAGATAAACAAACTGGTACATCCATACAAGGTAATATTATTCAGCAATGAAAAGAAATGAGCTATCAAGCCACGAAAAGACATGAAGGAAACTGAAATGCATACTGCTAAGTGAAGAAACCAGTCTGAAAAGGCTGCATACTGTACGATTCCACCTCTACAATATTCTGGAAAAGGCAAAACTATAGTGAAGTAAAAAGATCAGTGGCTGCCACGGGTTGGGGAGAGGGAAGAAGGGATGAACAGTGGAGCACAGGGGGTTTTTAGGGCAGTGAAACTATTCTGTATGATACTTTAATGGTGGATACATGACATTATGCATTTGGAAAAATCCATAGAACTATACAATATAAAAAGTGAACCCTGGGGCCGGCCCGGCGGTGCAAGCGGTTAAGTGCGCACGCTCCGCTGCGGTGGCCCGGGGTTCTCTGGTTCAGATCCTGGGCGCACACTGATGCACCACCTGTCAAGCCATGCTGTGGTGGTGTCCCATATAAAGCAGAGGAAAATGGGCATGGATGTTAGCCCAGGGCCAGTCTTCCTCAGCAAAAAAAAAAAAAAAAAGAGGGATGGGAGGGTGTTAGCCCAGGGCCAATCTTCAAAAAAAAAAAAAACAAAAAAGTGAACCCTAATTTAAACTATGGACTTTTAAAGTTAATAATGTATCAATATTGACTCATCAATGATGACATATGCACCCACCAATGCAAGATGTTAATAATGGGGGAAAGGTGGGAGGAGTATATGGGAACTCTCTGTATTTTCTGTTCAGTGCTTCAGTAAATCTTAAACTGCTCTAAGAAATAAAGCTCATTAATTTTTTTTTTGTTGTTAAAGCTAAGGCTGCTTGGGAGCCACCCAGTGGCCTAGTGGTTAAGTTCTGCACATTCTGCTCTGGTGGCCTGGGTTCCGTTCCTGGGTGTGGACTTACACCGCTGGATGGCAGCCATGCTGTGGCTGAGACCCACATATAAAATAGAGGAAGATTGGCACAGATGTGAGCTCAGGGCAAATCTTCCTCAATAACAAAAATAGTTAAGGCTTAGGTTACATGGAAGGACTCTCGGCTCAGGAAGGACATAGAGCCACGGGATGGGGAGAGTGGTACCCCCCCCCCCATGCCACCTCCTGTGGCAAAGATCTCAGAGGCAACTGAGTGCATAGGGGACAGAGACCAGTGAGGAACGGCTAAGGCCCCTTCCAGGCACGAGCCTCCCTTGACCCCATCAGCCTGCCACTTGCTCTCTTTCTTTTTCTTTCTTTCCTCCTTCTTCTTTTCTTTCTTTCTTTTTTTTAAACTGTGTTCTTGTCGAGTATTCCCAGCAACAGCCTGGGGTTCTGGGGGTGGAGAGGACACGGCCCCAGATGCCTGGTTGGGTGCCCCGTACACTGCAAGACAAGGCTCACCGACTGCCCGCCAGGCCAGCACCAATGTAGGGATCGGTTTGGGTTGGGGGTGCAGTGAAGATGACCAGTTCGCTGAGCAGGAGTCCCGCTCCGAGGGGGACTCCCTCCTCCAAGTCCCCGGTCCTGTCGGGGCTGGCCTTGTGGCGGGAGGATGGAACTGGACGCCACCAGGTCGCGTAGTTTCCGCTCCACCTCTCAGCGTGGTGCGAGAGGACTCCGCAGCAGAGACCAGAAGAGGGCGCTGGTCAGGTGGACCTGAGTTGGAGTTCTGACTACGCCTACTACTAACTACGTGACTTTGGGCAGGTGACCCACCCTCTGCTCCTCACTAACCCCTGTACCTTGCTGAAAATAAGTGTCTGCCTGGAGAGGGGAGGAGGCGATGCGTGAAGATTCACTGAACGAAGGGAGGAGAGTCCTCGCTCCCCGCCCGGCACGCAGGGAGCGGCCAGCCAGTGGCAGCGCGCTCGGGCGAACGCGGGTGCTCCGGCTCCGGTCCAGGGCCCCCGGCGGCTGCGGGCTCCCCCGGCTCCGGCCTCAGCCCTTCCCCGCACTTACAGGGGTCACTCCGCTCCTCCCTTCTTGGGCCACCGCAGCTCTGTCACCTGTTCGGGACGCCTCCTCGCACTGCCCTGGCAACCGTCACCAGGGAAACCAGCAATGCCGCTCGCGTGACGTCATCGGAGTCTACGGGGGCCGAGAGGGCGCCGGGAGGTTGGAAAGCGGCTGAGGCGCACATGGTCCAGGTTGAGGCGGTGTGGAAACAGGCGCGGTGGGCTAGGTGAAAGAAGGCGTCGTGTGCCTGAGACTTTAAGTTTGCCCGGCGGTCCGCTTCTGGAGCATATGTTTTAAAAGTTTTGTGGACCAAACTTCCTGCACAGAGATGCACATTCCGCAATCCTGCAGGGGAGGTGAAAGGTGAATGCTCCCACCATGGAATTTAATGTAGCCATTCAGAATGTCTTTGAAAAATGTAAAACAATGTGGGGGAAAAGTTATGTAGTGATGGTGAGGGGAAAAAAGCAGGACACTAAGTAGTGATTGCTGAATAAATAAAGTTTTTTTTTTTAACAAGCACGGAAACATGACTGGGAGGAATGCATAGAAATAGTAACAGAAAAAGTGGTTGTATTTGGGTGCTGGAATTGCAGTGCTGTGTTTTTATTTTTGCACTTTATAAGATTTTAAATATAATGAACATGGTTTATTTTCATGATAGAAAACACCTGTAGGTTTTTAAAGAAAGGCACTTCCCAATTTAAGTCACTACTATATTCAGGGCTAGATGGGGGTAGGAGGCAAATTTCTAGGAAAGGAGATCCAGGGAAGCTTTCCAGATATTTATCCAGGCCTTTATAATTTGAAAATCTTCAGATATCTCATAGTCGTTTTTCTTTCTTTTATTCCTCATAAGGCATTCACCCCATACACGTGCATGAAGATGCAGCACCAGAACTCTAGTACAATATCACAACCAGGATATTGACATTGACACAATCCACCCATCCTATTCAGATTTCCCCAATTTTACTTGTATTTATTTTTGTGTATGTATTTAGTTCTATACAATTTTATTATATGTGTGGGTTTGCGTATCCACCACGGTAGTCAAGATACCAAACACTTAAATCACTACAAGGATCTCTCCTTAGGCTTTTATAACCACACCCACTTCCCTCTTGCTGCCCCTCCCCCCAAGTTCCTAACCCCTGGTGACCACTAATCTGTTCTCTATTTCTAAAATTTTGTCATTTCAAAAATGTTATGTAAATGAAATAATATAGTGTGTAACCTTTTGGAATTGACATTTTACTCAGAATAATTCTCTGGAGATTCATCTAAGTTGTATCAATAATTCATTCCTTTTTATTGCTGAGTAGTTTTCCATGGGATGGATGTACCACAGTCAGTTTAACCATTCACCTCCTCAAGGACTTCTGGGCTGTTTCCAGTTTGGGGCTATTATGAATAAAGCTGATAAAAACATGGACAGATTTTTGTGTGAACCTGTTTTTGTTTTTCTGAGATAAATGCCCAAGAGTGCAGTGGTGTGGTAATCACGTGTTTAGTTTTTATAAGAAACCACCAACCCATTTTGTAGAGTGGCTGTACCATGTTACATTCCCACCAGCAATGTATGAGTGATCCAGTTTCTCCACATCCTTGCCAGTATTTGATGTTGTCACCATTTTTTATTTCAGCCTTTCTGGTAGGTATGTAGTGACGTCTCATTGTGGTTCTAATGTGCGTGATGGATAATGATGTTGAATATTTTTTCATGTGCTTATTTGCTGTCTGTATATCCTCTTTGATAAGTGTCTGTTCATATCTTTTGCCCAATTTCTAACTGTTGAGTTTTAAGAATTCTTTATATATTCTAGATACTAGTCCTTTGTTGGATATGTGGTTTGCAAATGTTTTCTCCCAGTCTGTAGCTTGTCTTTTAATTCTCTTCAGATGGGCTTTCACAAAACAAAAGTTTTTATTGTGATTAGGTCTAATTTATCAATTTCTTTCTTTTAATGGTGTAGGGGAGGAAGAACTATTCCTCTACCCTCTAGGTCCTTCTGGATGATCTAAGAAATTGACGTGAGACAGAATCACAGGAGAAAATAAAACAAAGTTTAATAACATGTATACATGGGAGAAACCCAGGAAATCTGAATAACTTGCCAAAATGACAGAAGCCACTACCTTAAATTCCATCTTCAGCTAAGGACAAAGGAGGATGTTGGGGGTAGTGGTTTTGGACTTTAAAGGGGAGGAAGGCAATTTACATGGAGGGGGAAAGGCAAATGTTTGGTAAGTGAATGTTTGCTGGGCCATCTATCGAAAATGTGACCTGAGAGAAAGAACTTTGATAAAAATGGGCTTAGCAAGGTTACTCCCAGTCTATCATAGCCAGTGTTATCCATGATGATAACTCCTTCCTGGGACAGGCCTTCTATCTTAAATTCTTTTAGGCAGTTAGGGGAAACGTCAAAGTTTCTTTCTGTGTTTTTTTGTTCTTAAAAATAATCAGTGCCAGCCTGGTGGCGCAGCGGTTAAGTACACGCGCTCCACTACGGTGGCCCAGGGTTCTCAGGTTCTGGAGCCTGGTTGCACACGATGGACCGCTTGTCAAGCCATGCTGTGGCGGTGTCCCATATAAAATAGAGGAACATGGGCACAGATGTTAGCCCAGGGCCAATCTTCCTCAAGAAAAAAGGGGAGGATTGGCATCAGATATTAGCTCAGGGCTAGTCCTCCTCACACACACACAAAAAAAGTCAAGCCAAAGAGACACATTTTGGGGTGGCAAATTCTGATCCTCCACAATGGATTGTGCTTTTGGTGTCAAGTCTAAGAACTCCTTGCCTAGCCCTGGATCCCAAAGATTTTCCCCTATGATTTTCTAAGTGTTAAAGAGTTGAGGGCCGGCCCTGTGGCTTGGTGGTTAAGTGCACGCGCTGCGATGCTGGCGGCCCGGGTTCGGATCCCGGGTGCGCATCGAGGCACCACTTCTCCGTCCATCCTGAGGCCGAGTCCCACGTACAGCAACTAGAAGGATGTGCAGCTACGACACACAACTATCCACTGGGGCTTTGGGGGGAAAAAAAAAAAAAAAAATAAAGAGTTGACATAACTTTTGTATAAGGTGTGAGGTTTAGGGGCCGGCCCAGCGGTTAAGTTTGCACGCTCCACTGCGCGGTTTGCAGGTTCGGATCCCAGGCGCGCACGGACACACCGCTTGTCAGGCCATGCTGTGGCACCCGCCCATATGAAGTGGAGGAAGACAGGCACAGATGTTAGCCCAGGGCCAGTCTTCCTCAGCAAAAAGAGGAGGAATGGCACGATGTTAGCTCAGGGCTGATCTTCCCCACCAAAAAAAAAAAAAAAAGGTGTGAGGTTTAGGTCGAGGTTCTTTTTTTTTTTAGCCTGTGGATGTCCAGTTGCTCCAGCACCATTTGTTAAAAGGTCTCCTTCCTCCATTGAATTACGTTTGAATCTTTGTCAAAAATAAGTTGAGCAAACTCAACAACAAAACAAACAACTCAATTCGAAAATGGGCAAAGGACTTGAATAGACATTCCTCCAAAGAAGATATACAAATGGTTCATAAGCACATGAAAAGATGCTCAATATCACTAGCCATTAAGGAAATGCAAATCAAAACCACAATGAGACCACTCCATACCCACTAGGATGGCTATTATTAAAAAAATGGAAAATAGCAAATGTTGGTTAGGATGTGGAAAAATTGGAACCCTTATGCATTGCTGGTGGGAATGTAAAATGGTGCAGCCACTGTAAAAAAGTTTGGCAGTTCCTCAAAAAGTTAAACATAGAATAACTATATGATCTAGCAATTTCACTTCTGGGTATATGCCCAAAATATGAAAGCAGGGACCCAAACAGATACTTGTACATCAATGTTCATAGCAGCATTATTATTACAATAGCCAAAAGCTGGAAACAACCCAAGTGTCAATCAACAGATGAATGGATAAATAAAATGTGGTATATCCATACAATGGAAGATTATTTGGCCATAAAAAGGAATGAAATTCTGATACTTGCTGCAGCATGGAAGAATCTTGAAAACATTATGCTAAATGAAATAAGCCAGACACAAAAGGACATATATTGTATGATTCCACTTGCATTAGGTACCTAGAATAGGCAAATTCATAGTGACAGAAAGTAGAATAGAGGTTGCCAGTGGACAAGGGAAGAGGGAAATGGGGAGTTGTTGTTAAAGAGCATGAAGTTTCTGTTTAGGAGGATGAAAAGGTAGTGGAGGCAGATGGTGGTAATGTTTGCACAGCATTTTAAAGTGTACTTAGTGCCACTGAATGAACACTTACAAATGGTAAATTTTGTTGTGTATATTTTACAATAAAATTTTTAAAAAATCAGTTGAGCATATTTGTGTAGCTCTAACTGCTCTTTTTTCTAATCCCTAAATTAGGTCCTTCCCACAGTTCAATGTTGCTCCAACTTTCAAGTGGGACCTTTATCCATGCGTATATTATCTTTTTAAAAATGATAAGGTCATCAAATAGATTTCCCCTCGCTGAAATTATATTCCCTCTCCCACAAATAAGTAAATATAAGCAGTTAGTGATCTGATCCTACTCTTACTATAAGAAGGAAAATTGAATAAACCCTGTCAGAAGTAAGAAAACCTGGGTTTTAACTCTCTGACATTAGTCAAGTCACAAACTTTGACTTTCTTCTTAAAATAGCAATAGTATCCTTGGGGCCGGCCCCAGGGCTTAGCGGTTAAGTGCGCACGCTCCGCTACTATTGGCCCGGGTTCGGATCCTGGGCGTGCACCGACGCACCGCTTGTCCTGCAGTGCTGAAGCGCGTCCCACATACAGCAACTAGCAGGATGTGCAACTACAACATACAACGATCTACTGGGGCTTGGGCAGAAAAAAGGGAAAAAACAAACAGTATCCTTATTACCATGATATTCAAATAGGTCATGAAATTGCTTTGTAAACTGAAATGCTCTTCAGTTGTCATGTATTATTACAGATTTAGTTGTTTTGCTTCAAAATGGCAGTAAGCTTTGCCGCAGCTTAAAAGCAAGGGTCCATTTGGCTCTCCCTATTTCAGAGCTCTCCACTTAAGCACCTCACTTTTGCAGGTCCAAAATCTAATTTGGTCATTATACCGGGAGTGTCTCTTGGGGCTAGACTTACCAGTCATGGTATTAAGTGATTGACATGTAAACCAGAACTGTAAGCCACTACATAGTTTACATTAGGGGATTGTGACCCATATCCAGAGCCCCTCCCTTCCCAGAATCAGATGCCTACGAAGCCAAGAGAGTAATCAGAAAGATATTTTGAGCATGGATTCAGAGCAAACTGCTTTGAGATATTTTTGACCCAGGATTAAGCCTTATTAAATATTCCACTTCACAAGCAGGATCCCCCACATAAATAAAAATTGTTAATTTTCTCCGGGTTCAAGTTCTTTCCTGATGGAAGGTGCTGGATACACGCTGCTAGTTTTGCCTCTTCAACTCGCCCTGGATTTGGGCTTTCTTTATTGACCACCAGCCTCTCATAGACTCTCCCCAGAACACTTTGTGTTTTAGCTCAATACTCTTTTGGCTACAGTCAAGTCTTATTTTATCCACGGAGCTATTTTGTCTAAGATGTGTTTATTTATATGGTGATCTCACTCATCATTTGTTGACTTTATTAGAAAACGCAGTGTTCTGCCAAGATTCATGAGTCCTTATTTCCAAGGGACCTCTCCGATGGATGAGATCTACCCTGGCTCTCCTCCAAGCCCTCAGCACAATGGATTGGTAATATATCTTATATTTTTCCCCAAAATCTCAATTTCACTCTTGGCTCATATCATGGTCTTTCAAAACACTTGGATGAAAGTCACCTGGTCTCAGTGATAATTTATTTCTCCACTGTTGGTCAGGTCCCCTGCCTTGTGTACTTACTAGATTTCAATTTACTGCCTCCACAGTAAGACCAGTTGTATGTGGGTATCTCCTCAGTTTCGTTCTTGTAAAGGCCAAAACAAATATTGACTGAGGATTTTTACATATGAAAAAAATCTGAGGATAAAGTAGCTATGGTATATTGGAAAAAAGTATTGGCCTTGGGACTGGGATGGGGAGTGAGTGTGTGTATGTGTGTGGTGGAAGGTGGAAATGAAGGAAAGGGAAGAACAAATATTTCTTGAACAGGCATTACTTTATGTACCTGTATTCCCTTCCATCATGCAGTCTCTCCATGTGACCAAGGGTCTTAAGGTCTGGGTGTGTGTCCCAGCTCTACCGCTTTTCAACTGTATGGCCTTGAGTAAATTACAGCTTTCCTCATTGAAAAAGTCAGGATAATATGTACTTCAGAGTTTTTGTGAGGAACTAATGGAAAGAAATATTAAAGCATTTTATATACAGCAAAGCACTACACAAAAGTAAAGTATCATAGTGGAGTATGCATTGTGTGTTTTAAACTCAAATTTGGCCAGATTTGAAAAAAAAAAGGTAAAGTTCACTGTGTCCTAGAAGAGTTCGGAGGAGCTTTACCAAAAGTAGAATTTGGGTTGCATCTTTAAGGTGTGCACTGAACGGACTGGGAGTGGGGAGGGGAACGTTCAGGAAAAGAACAGAGCATGAACAAAGGTGTCAGGGGCAGGGGTGTGCACAGGGCTTTGGCATCAGTGGCACCACTGGAACTAGGTGACAGAAGAGGACGTAAAGGGCCTAACTTTAAAGTGGTGACAACAGGGAGAGGAAGAGGACGAATCTGAGTGATGAGACACTCTGCTTATGAAAAACCGGCAGGACTTGGTGACTGGTTTAACGGTGACAAATGAACAGGAGGAAGGAAAGACACTTCTAAGAGTTTGAGCCCAGTGTGTCACAGTGGGAGATGGAGGGCATCACTGACAGAAATGGGTGAGCTAGGAAGGAGCACTAGTGGAGAAGACAGTTAAGTATGGTTGTAGACAAGCTGAGTTTTGGAAATAGGGCTCTAGCTGAAAGGTATGATGGCACTTCCATTTCACATTGCAAAATTTTAGTCACTCTGTGACACTTCAGAGTTGCCCTGGGGTCACGAAAAGGATCTAACAGCAACGTTGTAAGCAGCTCAGAATACTACAGAGAGGACCTGTTCCTGAGTTCCTCTGAGGGGACCGACCGCATGCTAGCTTCCACTCTGGAACTATTTATCACTACTGAATTTAGGAGAAAACTTCCTAATGTTTGTCTTGCTAAAAACAGATTCTTTTGCCTCATTTCAGTGACTAAGGGGAAAGTAGGCTGTCTTGATATAAGAATAAAGCTAGGATGCATGAGCAGTGCTGATTCTTCCATGAACTTCTATCAGGTAAATCATTCACTGAGAAAGTGGCAATCCAGTCAAGGCTGGTGCATGTTTGGTTTCCTTTCAAACTTCCCCATTCTATTCAAAGAGCTTTCAAACAGGATCAAGTATATAAATAATAATTGGCAGTTCCACTGTTTGACACATGAGAACCTTAAAATACCTTATGTTCACTCATTCGGCTTTGTTCTGGCCTAGTAGATATGTTCCGACAAGCTCTAGATTTACATGGGGATAGAGCCTAAGTTTCAATTTCCTGAAACTCTCTGAGCAGCATTTCCTCATCTGTGAGGCAAAAGGCATGGCCTACGGGACCAATCCTCTACTGTAAAATTCTGGCTGTGATACAGAGATGAGTGTACTTTGGGGATTTATGTTTAAGTGTGGAGTCAAATTCCAACTCTCACCACCAGATGTCACTGCTGCTTGTTAACTAGAAATAGGTAACTTTTTCTGGGGACAGCAGGATTCTGAATGTCAAAGATCAAAACCTACTTATTCTGATTATTTCCACAAACACTTACTGAACACCTACGTGAGCCTGGCACTAGTGCCAGGTCCTTTGGATGAAAAAGACCATCATGCCCTCAACAGACTAGTGTAGAGAGGCATGGAAGAAATCATACACCAATGTTCCAATATGCAATATTAAGCCAAAGAATCTAACTCGCAGTGAAAAATCAACATACCGTCTCTTTAAGGTAGAACATTGCCTCATCAAGGATACCTTCTCTGACTTCAACACTGGGTTAGGTTCCCCAGCCAGATGTTCCTGCTGCATCCTATATATAGTATTCATGATGTTTTTTGTAATTACTTATTTAATGCCACCCTTCCCTGCTAGCCTGTAACCTGAGAGGGCAGGGCCCATGCATCTCAGGTGCTACTGCATTCCCAAGCTTAACACACTAAGAATGGTAACAGCAACCATTCACTGAGTTTACTATTGCGTCAGGTGCTATGCTAAGCCCTTTACATGCACCACTGAATTTAATCTTCCTAACAACCCTACCTCACTGATATTGTCCCCATTTAACAGATAAGGAAACTGGCTACTCAGCTAGTAGATGGCAGAACCATGAACTCAAGTCGGATTCAATAAAAAATAGTATCACACCCACATGAGTCACTTTTAAGAACTTCCATAATCTCATGCTAGCCTATTCATCCACCCTAACATTACCATTGTCTCTTCAGGCAAGCAACTCCACTTCTTGTCTCCTGATCACATAACGCTCACTACCATTTTAACACTTCACTCTTGTTCTCTCTATCCTCTGCCATTTGTCTAGATCAATCTCTCTCAAATTAGTATTTCGTTTAATAAAATCAATAATGTACTGATCTATTACAGTGACAGTTTTCTGAAACCTGTTCCAAATTTGTTCTCCAGAAGGCTTATCCTTCATAAAACAACTGTTAGGACGCCTACAAGCATTTCTTACGTCTATTGGAAGCTGAGAAAACAGTTCCTAGTAATAGCTTATACTATTTTTAAGGCACTTTCTCATGGACCCATATCATGATTTATAAGCTAGATAGGACCACAGCAATTCCTAGACCAATTTCTCATTTCATAGCTAGGAAAAAGACTGAGAAAACCCTGATTTGGTCCAGGTTATACAGTCTGTGGTGAGTCAAGACCTTTTGTCTAATAAATTTATGATCACTGCTGCTACTCCAGCATTAATTTCACAATGTCAACATTTTAAGTCTCTAACTAATCTGTTGGGCTCTACCACTTGACTGCCCAGGTCCAGTCTCAAACCTATAATCTTCTCTAGCTATGTGACCTTGGGGTAGTTGAACTGTTCGTGCCTCAGTCCCCTCCTCTGCGAAATGAGGATCATATTTCCTACCTCTAACAGTTTTTAGGAAACTTAAATGATATTATACATGAAAAGTGCTTAGGGCAGTGTGTGGTACACGGTAAATGCTCAATAAATGTTAGCCATCATTCCTATTTGAACATTCTTGAACTGTGGTTCCTACCAAAGCTACAAAACGTTCTCTTGCTTTTCTTAGAACTTAATTTTTGTGCTACTTTGAAGAATGTTTTGTTTTTCCAAACTGAAATAAATACAAGACATTCGATGTGTTCACTTATCTTTAATAACACCACATTTACCATGTTATCACCATGGAATGTAAATTCGGGTTAGACAAGAGAATTTTACAAGTGCAATAAAGCATTCTGTAGTATACCAAAATTTGTGTATAATATCTGACCAAACCAGCTTGCTCATAAATCATTAATCACTTTCATTATAGGTAATTTGTTGAGTTTAACATTTATGATCCTTACAGAGAAATGAAACATACTGCACACATTTAAAAAGGGTTTTTCATTTACTTGTGCACTAGCACTGAAAATACATATTTCTACTTCAAGATGACATTTAAAAATTATTCTAATATAACAGCAGCAAAAATATAACTCTGCAGGGGCCGGCCCGGTGGCGCAAGCAGTTGGGTGCGCGCGCTCCACTGCGGCGGCCCGGGGTTCGCTGGTTCGGATCCCGGGCGCACACCGACGCACTGCTTGGCAAGCCATGCTGTGGCGGCGTCCCATAAAAAGTGGAGGAAGATGGGCACAGATGTTAGCCCAGGGCCATCTTCCTCAGCAAAAAAAGAGGAGGATTGGCGGATGTTAGCACAGGGCTGATCTCCTCAAAAAAAAAAAAAAAAAATATATATATATATAACTCTGCAATTACAAAAGAGCTAAACTGGGATCCATAATTAAGTTACTCTTATGTTTACGTGTCTGATTGTGAAATAAATACTATTTCTAAGCAGCTCTGTTATCAGCTTTTTAGGTTTGGTTTAAAAACACACACACACATTGGCAGTTGTGGGGAGGCTTATAATGTTATATTTCACGCACTATTCTAAAAGGGTTCTTCAATAGCCAATCAGCCCTAAAAACCAAAGCACTCAATCAGTCCACAAGGCAGGCAGAAAAAAGTTAAATTAACTGGGGTAAAGAGGATTCCTACCTAACATCAAAGCATGTGATGTTCTGCAGCAACTGGGAGAACCTCAGGATTGGCATGTTGTCTTCTTTACAACTAATTTCATCGGAAGAGTTTAAGAAGGTGGACATTTTACCACTATCAAGTACATTTAAAAGTGACACGTTTCTTTTGTGCTAATTTGACTCCCCTGAATGACCTAGTTAGTGAGCTAGTCACTAGTAATTTGGTCACCAGGCAAATCAAGCCTGCAAGAAAGGAAGCCAATATCAAATTACCATGTTCTTATCTGACCCCTCAAATGATTTATTTTCAACATAAACATATAACCTCAATATGAGACGTCTAACTAAAGCAAGCACCACCAATAAGACCACGACAGCATCTCTTCTTCTAAGGTTTTGGTTTTGCCCAGAATTCTTGATACAAGGAATAGCCCATACCTAAAGGAAAAGAATGCTAGTTAGCATTTAAATATTTTCCTCAATATTAAGAAAATTAAAAACAGTTCATAAAATAGCTAAAAGTAGCACCTTTGCTAGCATGCAATATTTACAAGGGGAACAAGACCCTAGGCTGCTTATACTCTTGTCTTCTTAAATAATTTAAACTTCTAAAATTTTTTTTAAACAGTTTCCCAAGTAGCTCTAGGCTAGTATGAACAGCTCAGATTGTTAACATATTTGCTTTAAAGAACAATCAATATTTATCTGGCAACTTGGGTTTTTTTTTTTTTTTTTTTTTTTGCTAAGGAAGATTGGCCCTGGGCTAACATCCGTGCCCACCTTCCTCTACTTTTTATATGTGGGATGCCTGCCACGGCATGGCTTGATAAACGGCGTGTAGGTCCGTGCCTGGGATCCGAACCTGCGAACCCTGGGCCGCTGAAGCACAGCCCACCAACTTAAGCACTACACCACTGGGCCGGCCCCTATCTGGCAACTTTAAAAGGAGTTACTCTTACTACATAATACCAGATAAAGACAATGAATTATAAAATCCAATAAAAGCATGTAATACCTACATTTAGAAAATCATTTCTACCTTCAAATACTGAACAAAATAGCAATCATGTCTCTTCTAGATAATGGATCTTACTACCAACCCTATTTGCATGTCTAGACTCTTCAATGAAATTATAAACTTAGTGATGGACAGGATTGTCTTTTCTTCCTTTAAAGCCTTAGTAAGATATAGACAGTAAAACTATGTAAATTTTAGTAGAACTAAATTTTTACATGAAAATGAATATAAGTGATATTTGCAAACTGTTTCAAAATCAGCCACAAGTATCTACCTTGTTTTATTTACCAAGAAATCAATTCATTAATGGGGAACCACAAATCTGAAAATTTCTCGTAGGAACCTACCAAGGGTCATTGCTCCCACAACAAAGCCTTGGGCTGCCACGCGCATGTGGATCAGGTGAACAGACATTTTAGTATTTCCCCTGCTCTTCAATTTATATAATCCATATGCAACAATTGCTGCAAAGCCCGCCATTCCTGTGAAACAAATAGTCACAAGTATGTCAGATGCATGGAGGTAGGGAACCAAGACGATTTTACCATCAACCAATGTACTTTCTATTTTTATAAGGATGCTTTATGAGACCACTGATTAGCTAGAATACAAACTGAGTTTTTAATATTTCCCCCTACAACCAAAAATCCGTAATTGGTAGCAAACAGTAGCAGATCCAGAAAGTTAAGATCATCTTCAAAATGTGGGCTTGTGGAGCCAGCAGATAAATTCCTTTAAGAGTGCCAGGGGAACTCTTCCTCTCAGTCCTACTTCCCTCCCCAAAGGGAATCAGTTAATACAGCAGAGACTGTAATAAACGATAACTGTGAGTATAACAGCTTTTTTGAGTCTTGTGAGCCCTTCTAGGAAATCATTGAGACCAAGGGTGATCTTGGGGTCCCCCAACACAGTCACTGAAATAAGAGTCGATAAAACAATAAGTCTGAATACATAAAGAAGAATTTTCATAATGAGTTATATCATGCCAATCTGAGCATATCTGAACAACATATGAAAAAATATTTGAAAATAAATGCTTTTAGGATGTGCTTGATGAACGAGTTGACCACACTTCTATTGTGTTAAAGCTTACAACACATCATTAGAACACCAATGTCAAACTTACCAATGGGGACAAACGGTGCCTCTCTAGCTTTTCGGATAAGTTTAGATCCCTGATCTTCATCATATGAAGAAAGAGAAACATCTGTGTCAGTTGACATAGTGACTGAAGAATCTTCCTGGAAGAGAAATTTCCATGAGGTTCTGCAGTTAAAAGCATCCAGTAACATTAAATGAGTGGATGTACTTAAAAATAATCCTAGTTTCCATAAAAACCTGATATATGTTATTCATGAACTTAAAAAAACATTTTTAGAAATTAACTGTATTTTTTATCCATAGCCATCTTTAGGGAGGGTTGTATGTATTTATTCCCTCAACTGTTTTGATGTTTTCCCCATACAATCAATTCCTTTTTAGTACCACATTGTTAATAATGGTAAAAATTTTGTGTGTGTGTGTGAGGAAGATTAGCCGTGAGCTAACATCTGTTGCCAATCCTTCTCTTTTTGGTGAGGAAGACTGGCCCTGGGCTAACATTCGTGCCCACGTTCCTCTACTTTATATGTGGGATGCCTGCCACAGCATGGCTTGATAAGCAGTGCGTAGGTCCATGCCTGGGATCCGAACCCGTGAACCCCAGGCCACTGAAGCAGAGCATATGAACTTAACCACCATGCCACCAGGCCAGCCCCAAGGGTAAAAAAATTTTTTTAATTGAAATTACTTTTGTCAATTAAAATAGTAGCTATGAATTTTCCGGCTACCTTCATCCTTAATCGACTTCAACTTGACAACTTTAAATTACTCAAACCAAACTGATACTCCTTATTGCCTCTTCAGTATCATGGTGAAAATTCTACTAAGCACTTTTAAGTGTAGGTAAGTGTAGTCTTTATTGCTTTCAATTATACCTGACTTATTTACTCTCACGTGCTACCTGGCTTCAGTTCTTACCTCCGAATAGTTTCCAACCTATTACACTCATCTCTCTTATTGATGGTGGCTGTTTTGGGGGAAAAGATTACAGTTATTCTGAATATACAAACTTTCTACTTGACTCAGTATTTACTCTTTTTAAGGACAAAACTTATTTTAAATACTATTGCTAGAAATGCTTCCTTTTAAACATAATTTATGTTCAATTGAATATAATATAGCTTTTTAGTTTTTTTATGACTTAGGGTTATCATTTTTAACATCACTGCAGCAAAAAACAGGGTCTTCTTAATGAATGAATACCTCCTAAGCTTCAGATGTATCTTCCTTTACATATCTTATATTTCCTGGGCTTCCCTCTGAAAATTCTTTACCTTCTTTTACAATCTTATTCCTTTAGGTGGTACCAAAAAATGCAAAACACCAGACTGATTATATGAATAAGGTGACAGAAAAAAAAAAAGATTCATTTCCATTACTAGAGGGATCAAAGGTCCATTCTCCCTTTTCAGTCACCTTCTTTTACACGGAAGCTAATGGGCGTTTCATCACAATGAGGTAATAACAAATTCAATTTCACCTTAGTCACAGTTAACTTTATGTATAATACTTCTTCACTGAGCTGATGTGAACTGCCTGTAAACTTCACCCACAGATAAAATAAGGGAGTCATAGTATATAATAAGTGCACAAGCCTCTAATTAGTGTCAATTACAATAAACTCAAAAGTCAACTGCCCATCTCACTACTTGTACAAAATCTTACCTTCACTTCTGGGTTTTTCACATGCATCGTATTCCTTTAGATAATAATAGCTCTCATTCAACACTTTGCTATTCAAGGGGTGTTAGTAGTAGTTAAGGCCCTCAAAGAAAATCCAGCTCTAGAGGTGGGGCTTAGTGCTTAGTTTGAAAAGTGAAATCATTCCTCCAGGGCCCCATCCCCATTGGGAAGAGTCCAATTCTGTCAACTGACAGAGAAGACAACCTTAATCCAAAGGAGTTGTACAGTATCACACAGCTAGATAGGACAAAACTCAGATTAGAACTAGACTTCCTCTTCTTTTTTTGTACTCCATTATCTGCTAATTGAATAAACCCCTACTTATGAGCTTTATTATATACAAAGTTCAACAAGCTCAAGGTTCAGGATGCTCATTATATATTTGAAGAGATAAAATAAACACTGAAATAATTTATGGTTCAAAAATTAAGTTTTTTTTAAAAAGAGACAGGACAGAGTGTTATTACTTGCCAATAGCATAAGAGAGAGAATGAGAACCGAATTTAAAGTGTGAGGTCTTTTAGCTCATCGGGGGTTTGGCAAGTTTCACAGAGAAATGTTTGAGATTGGCCTTCAAGAAACGACATAAATGGACTAGATGGAAAGATTCAAGATTGTATTTATTTTAGGCTAGTATATGTTTACTAGCTGCCTTCATAACTAATCAAATTTCTCAAAGGTATAACTGTTCTGGGGCCGGCCCCGTGGCGTAGTGGATAAGCGCGCGCGCTCCACTGCTGGCGGCCCAGGTTCAGATCCTGGGCCGCACTGACGCATTGCTTGTTAGGCCATGCTGTGGCAGCATCCCATATAAAGTAGAGGAAGATGGGCACGGATGTTAGCTCAGGGCCAGCCTTCCTCAGCAAAAGGAGGAGGATTGGCATGGATGTTAGCTCAGGGCTGATCTTCCTCACCAAAAAAAAAAAAAAAAAGCAAAAAAAGCGTAACTGTTTTATCACAAATCCTCCATCCACCTCCCTCGGCAACCCCACATTCTAATTACATTAAACTTCTTATAGATGCTCTCTATATCTCCAAGCCTTTGCACAAGCTGATTCCTCTGCCTGACACTTTTCTTCCCTTTCCATCTCCTTTCAGATACTCTCTTTCCTGGCTAATTCTCCCATTTTTCAGGTTTTTATCTTAATTGACCTCTGGAAAGTCTTCTTTGACACTCTAAGTTTATAATAAGTGCTTTGGTTATGCAGTCGCATAAGACCTCATGCTTTCTCTATAATAACTCTTTCTTATAAATGCCCGTTTAATGGTTTCTCTTGCTAGAATCCTTCAAGCCAAGAGGCTACACCTGCCCTCTTGTATCTATCTCCATTGCCTGGCATGATGCTTTGCCATGTAGTAAGCACACCACAAAATGTTCGTTGAATAAATTTAAAAGTAATATTTTTCAGCAATTAGAATTATTCTCAGGTAATTTATTTAGGAATATTTAGTGAAAACAATAACAATTATACACATTTGTAGAGTTGAATCAGTCAGTAAGAAAAATGTCCAACTCTATGTACCTAAGTGCTTATTTCTTTTTTAATTCTCATATCGTATCTAAGAAAGAAATGAGAACCAGAGTAGGTCTTGGTTCCTTGCAATCACAAGAGACAAAACTATTATATACCACAATCCACTTTTAAAAACTAGCACCTTCTTTTGCAACATGAAAGCATGTTTTCTTCCTTTGCCTGAATTATTCCTCAACTATGAAGTCATTTGGGAACTGTCTTTAAAAGCAAGAAAGTTGGTAGTTTTCCTCTAATCTGGATCACTATAATTGCCCAACAGGTCAATGCAGCAAAAGTTTTTTTTCCCCTCTCCTTTCAGGAGGGCGGGGGATGGCTGTCTCTCTTTTGTATATAATAGAAGAAAATCCATTCATCTTCATTCCTTACCTATGATACAGACTCTGAAGTTTGTATGGGTAGCACATTGTATGGGTAGCACATTTTCAGAAAGTAGTCCCTGGGATAAGAATCAGGGTGTGGGGCAACCATGTGGTCATTATTTGCTTTAAGTGACTAACGATAATCTATCTCTGATGCAAGACACCTTGTGTATACATTTCAGGATAACATTAATAAGGAGAAATATTAAAATCCAACACTTAGGGGCCGGCCCAGTGGCATAATGGTTAAGTTCACGCGCTCCACTTTGCCGGCCCAGGGTTCGAAGGTTTGAATCCCAGGCAGATAGACACACCACTCATCAACCCATGCTGTGGCAGCCTCCCATATACAAAATAGAGAAAGACGGGCACAGATGTTAGCTCAGAGCTAATCTTCCTCAGCAAAAAGAGGATTGGCAATGGATGTTAGCTCAGAGGCAGACTTCCTCACCAAAAAAAAAAAAAAAAATCCAACACTTACATCAGAGTTGTTATTGTATAGTTCAAATTATATTTTTATATCATCGTATAAATTCTAACATAGTATGTATTTATAATACTCCCTGAATATAAGATTTTGATAATTCTCTTTTTAATTACCACCTAGAAGTTTCCCAAGTATTCATGATTTACAGCCACCTAAATTGAAAACGGTTAACTTTTGGGCCAGCCCCGTGGCTTAGCGGTTAAGTGCGCGCGCTCCGCTACTGGCAACCCGGGTTCGGATCCCGGGCGCGCACCGACGCACTGCTTCTCGGGCCATGCTGAGGCCGCGTCCCACATACAGCAACTAGAAGGATGTGCAACTATGACATACAACTATCTACGGGGGCTTTGGGGAGAAAAAGGGAAAAAAAAAAGGAGGAGGATTGGCAATAGATGTTAGCTCAGAGCCGGTCTTCCTCAGCAAAAAGAGGAGGATTAGCATGGATGTTAGCTCAGGGCTGATCTTCCTCACAAAAAAAAAAAGGAAAACGGTTAACTTTTAAAAGTATCACAGTAAATAACTACAAATCATATAATTTGAAAATAACAACCCAGATGATTAATCCATGCCAACAGCCTTATTTTACAGATGGAAAAAGGGTTATGAAGGGTTATATGAATTGCTCAACACCATGACTACATCTCTAGCAGGGTAGGATTAGAACTCAGCTCTCCTGATACACAATCTAGGGTTCTTTTGATTGACAATATATTGCCAAATCATCAGTATTATGATGCCGGTATATATTTAATCTGAAAAATATTGAAATCCATTCCTTAACAGAAGCCCACATCTTTCTTTGAATTGTAAAAAGTATGTAAGTCATGCCTAAAATTAAATGGAACCTTCTTCCCCAGTGACTTAGCTCATCTAACAACTTCAACTGTGATTTGAAAGGACTTTTTTTCACTAGCACCACTTCTAGATTTTCCTTCATTATCATTTTCTCATCCACCCAGGGCAATTGATTCAGATCAGTCGGAAAGCTGAATAGGTGCAAAAAGAGGCACCAATAACCAGATATTCAAAGTCAGTTTGGAAAACACGAATTATTCTGTAGACTTAGTAAGATACTACTGAAGACCTTT